CAAAATAACAGAAAGAAAGACTGCATGAAAATGGAGTAAAACATAAAAAGGAAAAATAGGATATACTGATACATTGTGCCACAGTTACACATAGATTCCTCGCCAAAAAATCTAGAACAATGTTGAAAGATGGGAAGATAAATTGTAGAATCACAAAGCGAAAGTAGAATTTATTTAACAGATTTACTAATCATCACTTCCCGCTCTTTCTTTTCTCTTTCAGCTAAAAATAGAATATCATAGGTAAACAATTTTTTTACTTCGTGTTGCCAAATTGATGAGATTCCTCCTGTAAACAGATCATAGCCTGTAAACAGACACACGAAACAACGAAAATAATTTGATATTTTTCTGTTCAATGAGGAAAAGAAGATAAAATATACACGTTGAAAATGTTGCAGGCCTAATATGCTTTAAACACTGACTGTATCCTCTCTTAATTTTACTAAAACAAGTCTGCTTTTATATGTTTCTCCCCTAAAATATACCAAATCAATTATATTTTTCTCAAATGTCTTCTGAACGAACCCTACCAGTCGTTCAATGGGAGGCTTGCCCTAATGGTGTTCCACAGAGCCGCTGCATTGTTAATTCAAACCTCAACAGTTGGCCCCTCATGGAGTCAGTCTGCCCGCTATTCGGTGCCGTCACTATCTTCGGGAAAAATTCTGTTAGAAACACTAAAACCCTAGCCATTCATGACTGGCAATTACAACCTTATCAATGTCCCTTATTGTGATGACAAGAATGTTATTGTCTTTATTGTTCACGAGAAAATTCTGTCAGACATGACTGGTAAATACAAACTTATCAATGTCCCTGTTAAAGACAACAAGAAGTATGAGATGTTTTGACCGTTGATATTCCAGACAGTTATCATGGTTACTCGCTGTTTTAGCTTTGTAACAACCCAGTTTGACGGCATTCAGCAAACTCTATCATAATTATCAAAGTTTAAACTAGTTCGCTACGTCAATCACTTGACACTACCTACTATTCAAGTCTACAATGCCGTTAAATTAAATCTTGATCGTCAAGTGCTCGTAATCAATCATCAATTCTCTCCATCGTCCAGACGTGTCTGAAATGGGATTTATGTTGCTCCATCAATTACAAGTTATTTCTGTTTGTACAAGTGTTAGGTTTGTCATTATTGCTTCCAATCAAGTCATTACTTTTTTCAAATTTAAGTATAACTCTCAGATAATTTTTTTGATTTATTGGATTAAATGGATTCCCACATTCCCTAAAACAATTCTGACAACCGACCAATTCCATTACTGCAACTTAACACCCCTCTGAACAATCAAGTCTGGCTAAAAAGAGTTATCGTCCTTGAATTCAAGAAGAGGTTATTAGGTTACTGAGATCAGCTGATAAAAAAATAAATCTGTCAAGTCAGTGATCTACTTCAGATTTTAAGACTAGGTCTGTAGGCCAGTAGGTTAGAGCTTTTACTGTCATTTTCAATTGAGGCTTCAAAACATCTGATTATAGTTGTTGGCTTTTAAGGAAAAACTGAGTTGAATACATAAACAGAAACGGATTTGAACAAACTTTTCTTATAAAGTTTGGAAATGCCATGCAGTGATCAATTAAGGAAATTTTTCAGGAAAGAGGAATTAGCCTACTCATTTTCCACTGTCAATGAAACTCTTTATGCCTTACTTGTTACACACTGGACCTCGTTTTATTTTCCTATCCAAACATCTAGAAACTTTTTTCATGTCAGCCCTTGGATGTCCAACATTGATAGGGAGAACTGGCTTAAAAAATTCAAAGGTATTAGCTTGACATAAGCTGAGATTGACCCCTTGGTTAATGAGCAAATGTCTAGCATGCTTATTTAGCCAGCCCCCAGAATACAGATATTAGACATCAATGTGTAATAATGTAACTGTTTTAACAGACATTGAACTTTCTTAATAAACCCAATATGACTTGTCATCACTTTTATTAACAATACTAAGCTACCCTTACAATTCATTACTTAAATTCCAAAGGCCCTGAACAGACGTCACAATTTCACAAAAAAGTAGACCAAGTTACGTAATGGTTTCTTAGCAACAGATGTAAATGAGTTAGAAGTTTAATATGGTGAAATATCGACAACGTATGGTAATAAAACACCCATCAATCATCATTTTCCATGATCAATTCCGTCTAATCTACGCTAACCAGTGTTTTATTGTTTAAACTTGTTATATTCTATACTCTTTTATCAAGAAGGTTAATTCAGTCTTAATTCTATATAAGGTCATTATAGTTAAGCCAAAAACAAATAAAAAAAGAGGGGAGGAGGATGACATGAAATAAGGGGTTTATGCCCTATTCTAACAATCAATCCAAATTTTTTCTGGGTGTTTCTTGATGCTCTCGCTCCACCAGGTATAATCCCTTGACTGAAAGTTTTTTTTCACAAATACTACAATAATGAAAAATCTGTCCATGACTGGTAAATACAACTAAATAAACAGTCTAGAGCTCTAGTCAGATATGACTGGTAAATACAGTCAAATTAACACTCTAGTCAGACTTGACTAATAAATACAACTAAATAAACAGCCTAGAGCTCTAGTCAGACATGACTGGTAAATACAGTCAAATCAACAGTCTAGAGCTCTTGTCAAAAATGACTAGTATATATAGTCAAATAAACAGCGTAGAGCTCTAGTCAGACATGACTGGTAAATACAGTAAAATAAACAGCCTAGAGCTCTAGTCAGACATGACTGGTAAATACAGTCAAATCAACAGCCTAGAGCTCTAGTCAGACATGACTAGTACATATAGTCAAATAAACAGTCTTGAGCTCTAGTCAGACATGACTGGTAAATCTCGTTGCAGATTGAAAAACACCATTTCAAGTTCTTCATTCGATACATTTGTTACTACAAATCTAAATAAGACTTCATTTGTCTACTACTTCAAAATAATAACGACAATAACGATAAAAACTTATCATCCAATCAGATTTGACCTAATAAACCATCGTCAGTGACGAAACTAAATAACCAATCAAAGAAACTAACACTATTTCACTTGACAGGGTTTTACGCTGATTGAAATCCCTTTCAATTAGATTCGACATTCAATTCCATGTTTCTCATTTAGTCGAAGATGTCTTGTCCAGAGAACGTCAGTTTTTATTAGTTTATCATTTGACAGCGTTTATATTTGGAATAAAACAACAAAAATAACAATTTTAGCTTTGTGGACTCTCTGAAAGGGATGCTGAGTTTATAAATCTAAATATTAAATAAATATCATCTATTATTAAAAGCCATGAGGACTCTCTAAATGCTGAGATAAGAAACAGTCCCAGAAAGGAATCCATAAGTCTCAGTCCTAATGATTGTACTTTCCAAAGTCCCAACCTTTCCAAATCTTCTTATCCCATTGGAAAGGAGTCAATATTCCACCTGATTTCCATGAATTATTTGCTCAAAAGTACCCCAAAAGGAAGTTCTAGTATGCTAGATTGGGAAACAGGCCCCCTGTTCTCAAAAAGATAGGATATCCTAGGGTCTCAATGTTTTACACTGTTTCTATGATATCCTAGGGTCTTAATGTTTTTTACACTGTTTCTATGATATCCTAGGGTCTCAATGTTTTACACTGTTTCTAGGATATCCTAAGGTCTCAATGTTTTACACTGTTTCTATGATATCCTAGGGTCTCAATGTTTTACACTGTTTCTATGATATCCTAGGGTCTTAATGTTTTACACTGTTTCTATGATATCCTAGGGTCTCAATGTTCTACACTGTTTCTAGGATATCCTAAGGTCTCAATGTTTTACACTGTTTCTATGATATCCTAGGGTCTCAATGTTTTACACTGTTTCTATGATATCCTAGGGTCTGAATGTTTTACACTGTTTCTATGATATCCTAGGGTCTCAATGTTTTACACTGTTTCTATGATATCCTAGGGTCTCAATGTTTTACACTGTTTCTATGATATCCTAGGGTCTCAATGTTTTACACTGTTTCTATGATATCCTAGGGTCTTAATGTTTTACACTGTTTCTATGATATCCTAGGGTCTCAATGTTCTACACTGTTTC